ACGCTGGACCTCGGCGTCCGTCGTTTCAAAGAAGCTCCGAGCATGACCGGACGCGTCCCGGTCGAACGCGATCGGACGCAGCACCAGCGTCCGGTCACTCTCCAACTTATCGTCATCAGACGTCAGCCGCGACCGGACGCACTCTGCCAACAGCGTCAGTAGCATCAGATCCAAATAGTCCGGTCGGTTGACCGACGCCAAAGATCTTCGCGACTAACTCTGCTTTTCACTTCTAACTTCATCACCCTTGCTCCAATGTGCTAACCACAAGAACTTGCATCCGGCGCAATAGAAAATAGGCATTATATTTTTCCGAAAGTGCCGAATCCCACCTCACAAGCTCGGCGGGAGGGAGAGAGGGACCCAAACCCATCTCACCCCTGCAAACACCACCTCCTTTGTAAATGTGCCAACACCACCAAGTGTACACCACCATGTGTATGTGTGTTAGCATTTTCACAATCATTTCCCAAAGGATGTTAGCCACTCAACTTGCCACGCCACTCGATCCTAGCGACAATGCAAAGTTAGATCACTCGAGTGGCACTAGATGACCGATATGCAAACAAGTTTGCCCTCTTGATAGTACGGCCATCTATCCTAAACCCGGTCATAAACTTCTCTACACACCTATGACCGGTGAAATGAAATGCCTTAGGGTTATACCTTTGCCTTGCGCATTCCATTCCATCTCCTTCAATGTCGATGCAACACATGCACCAACACTATCAACAATGATATGATCCACTTCATATCATCACATGATCATATTGGTTCATTGATCTTGACTCTACTTGCTCTTCACCGTTGCTATCGTCCATCGGCGCCAAGTCTTGCTCAAGCTTCACCGCCACGCGGTCCATCACTCCAAAGCCTTTGACTTGCCCTTCACGCTTGCAACCGGTCCATCAAGCCAAGTCTTGTCTTGATCTTCTCCACCTTGATCACATGACTCAATGTCATGTCTCATGTGCAATAAGCTCCTTTATCATCACATGTGTGAGCTTTGCAACATCTCCAAGCCATTTTCACCTCCATGGCATATGTTGCTCATACACATGTACCTGTGGACTAATCACCTGTGTATCTCACATAAACACAATTAGTCCACCTAGGTTGTCACTCAATTACCAAAACCAACAAGGACCTTTCACCTGGGTCGGCCCAAAAAGGATGGATGTTGCTATATGCTGACTGTCCACCACGCAAACTTGCAAAAGGTGATGCTGTTTGAAAAAAAAGATCATCTACCACCAACTAATAGGTAAGTCGGCGGTGCCACAGGTGCCGCGCTGGGTTAGACCCTCGAGAGGCTTGGCTAAAATCAATGTCAATACGACGATGTCGAAGAACTCAGGCCAAGCAGCGGCGGCAACAGTGGCCCGTGATGAAGATGGCAATTATCTGGGGGCGTCTGTCCTGGTGGTGGCAGGGCAATTACCTAGGGGCGTCTGTCCTGCGAGTGATTGTACCAATGCGGTGAGGAGTTATTGGGCGAAGGGTTCAGCAGGTATGGACCAATTGTTCGGGAGATAAATGTTAGAAGAAGGAGTTTCGCTAGAGCGGATTTCATCTTTAAACAACAGAAGTCAAATGTCGACACCCATATATTAGCTAAAAGCTCTGTAAATTTATCGATAGGTAGACATGTTTGGTTTTTGGAGCATCCGGATGAAGTTTGTAATTCTTATCCTGTTAAATAAATAAAGTTAGTGCTCCTCTAAAAAAAAGTCCGATTTGTTTACCTTTTGATTTTTTTAGGGAAGCTTACCTTTTTTCTGAATTACACAAGTACAGACACAACAGACGCTTAACATGTACGTACACTCATCTTTATGAACACACGTACGTAAATCCTAGCCTATAAATACCTTTGAAAACCTATACCGGCACATATGGAGATTGATGAAAAAGACCGGATTTTTAGACTCCCTCTGCACCCACTCAATTTACCTTCCAGAGCATTTTAACTTGTGTGGCATCATTATCGGCCGTCCTACGTAGCATCAGGTTAGCAATAAGAAGCATTTTAACTTGCGTGGCATCATTATCGGCCGTCCTACATAACATCGCGTTAGCAATAAGAAAGATGAAATTAAACTTTCACGATACTTGAAGAAAGTCAATTAGACTATAAAAAATAATAGAAATAATTTGTCAAAACTTTTCCAAATATTTACTAAAATAAATGTACATTTAAAAATACTAAATTTTGATTTAGAGCATGTTTGGTTACCGCATGGGCGTAGCCTGGTCTGCATCTATGGGCCTAGATCACCCTAGCCAGGCTGAGCACATGCAAGCTCTTTTGTTTGGTTCCTTACAGGTAGCCTAGTTTAGAAGAGACGCTGTTTGGTTGCCAGTATAAATCATGCAACACGAATATATCAAAATATATAGTAAAATATTAATTATTTATGATATTATGTCATAATAAAACTTAATTTACCTTATACAATCTGAATTTGTTTTAAAATCACTTAATATTCACTAATTATGTGTTAATGACATTATTAGTTGTGCTAATCCTGCATGGCGCGAGCCTGGCTCGCTGGATACGAACGAATCTGCTGTTCCCTTGAGCCTGACTCGAAGGGCTCTTTTGCATGAGCTCGGCCTGGCTCGGCGGCACATCCAGGCAACCAAACGAGCTGAACCTGCATGCGACGGGCCTGGCTGGAGGGCATGCGAGCAACCAAACGCGCCCTCAATATTAGAAAATTTGGTTTAACTCAAAAAAATTATGAAATCAGTTCAACGCTTCAAGCCATCATGCACCTAGTCCGGTGAACCTCTGACCCGCATTAGAGCATCTCGGGGAGTTTTGTAAAACAACTTCATATATTTTTACCTTTTATAATATTTTAGTAAAAAGAGAAAAAAAACTACCCTCAAATATTTTGGTAAAAGAGCTCCTTAAAAATAAAAGTTTATTAAATATCATCTCTAACTCGTAAGTTTTCACGTCCAGAGAAACTTCGTAACCGCTCCTTGGCCGGTATTTTTCTCGGGAGATCGAAGTAAATTGAACGTATGAGTAAACTAAAAAAAAGTTTTCAGATGAGAAAGCGGTAAAGAGAAAAAGAAACTATTAAAAATATTTGATTGGTTAGAAATATTTGGAGGTTCTAATATAAAATCGTATAGGAAGCTATTATAGTATACTGTTGGAGAAGTTCGCTATTTCTTTTTGTTAACTTGCTAGATCTATTAACTTAGCAAATAAACTATATCAAACTGCCTTGAGCCCCTAAGCTGCAGCATTGACATGTCCCAGGCCTGTTGCAACAAGCCCACGTCGTCTACTCAGCTTATGGTAGGATAATAGGAAGAAAGAGACCCAATCAGGGATTCGGTTGGATTTGTTTTTGTTGTGAAACAGAGGTAGAAGTGTTATCCAGGGAAGAACAGGAGAATGGAGACGGGACAGCGTGAACGGATAGGAAACAAATCCTCTGCAGTTCTGCAGAGGGATGTACTGCAAAGAAGTATCCGAATGGATAAAGAGCACCTCCAGTTGCAGAACTGCAGAGGGACTTGCAAAGCAGCAGTGGTACGTAGCCCTGTTTTTTTAGATACAAAGAGGTTCTGCAAAGCCTCCCTCGAGCTTTTTTAGTTCAAATCCAAAGTGTCTAAAGGGAACATCAATATTTAAAAATACATTTTTAAATTTTGTGGATCAAAGTGCTAGCTTTGACCAGTGTAAAGGCGCTCGACCGCTCGTGCATTTAACTAGACGGCGGGCTCCACCTCCAAAGGCTCCATCCGAATGAAGGAAAAAAAAAGAGAGAAAAATCTCTTGTCCATGCTCACCTCCGTTCTCTATCAGTCTTCACTGACCAGGCGCATCGCTCTCGCCGGCTCGCCGTAGTCGATCTGCCGGCGTGTTCCTCCCATGCGTCCCCCACCGTGTTCAGGTACTTCCTCCCTCTCCCTCCCTCCCTCCCTCTTTCTTTCAACCAGCGATCCTAGCAATCTCAGTTTAGGTCCAGATCCATTATATTTCCAAATTGCATTAGGCCTTGGCTAATTGATGTAAAGGACATGGACACATGGTTAATTTGTTGGAACCTGGTAGAGATCGGACCCAGAACAAACACAACGAAAATTATGTATATCTAACTTCCATCTGATTTTTACGACCGACGAACTTCCATCCTGCATAGTCGCTTCGACGGAGAGAGTATCTGATTCTTACGATCCGACGAACTTCAATCTGTTTAGCACAGTCGATTCGACGGAGAGAGTATCATCTGATTTATTTGTTTAGTTTGCTGGGTCGCCCTTGTTCGGAGTTCGGAGAGCAAGTTGGCCTTCTGTTCCATCTTTGGCACGCAGTTGGACTTGCAATAATATTTGAAATTGTTTGAACTAACCTGCCCTGGCTATTCAACTACAGAACTGTGGATGAATTGGTTAGATGTTAGTACTAACTAAACTGCTGACGATCTAATCGCCTAGAAGATCTGGACATTTAGAAAACCTTGTACAAGTAACATATATCAGTGAATCCATGCATTTGTCACACCTGCACTAAAAAATTTGACAAAGAGGGTCAGTAACATTCCGAATTCTGCATATTAAGCAATATTAAGAAATGGCATTCAAATAAAGATAAGGACAGACACTCTTCATACTCTTGCCAGGTAGAGTACTCAGTGGTCCATTTTACTGGGGTGGCAGGTTTGTTCCACCTAGTTAGTTATACATCTCCATTTTCACCTTTAGAGTTCATAGCAGATAATTGGTTGTGTGTGCTATCAGATGGTCCATGCTGCATCAGCGTATTGCTATCAGGGGATATGGGGATGTGTTCTGCAGAACTTAGAAATGCTTTGATCCAATTTTACGTTTGAAACTGCTGTCTATCTAATGCCACAGTTTTATTTTTCTGACATTTGTCATGATTTTCTTGTTTCCATGTTTGGAGCACGATTTTTTCTTTGCTCCTATCAACAGTTTTTTTTCTCCTTCCAGTGAGCAATACAAAACAAAAAAAGATGGACCCTGAGGAGGAGGAGCTTTCTAATTCTACGGCCAAGATAACTGATGATCTAGTAGTGGAAATACTGTCCCGGTTGCCATTCAAATCCTTTTGCCGTTTTAAATGCGTATGCAAATCCTGGCTCGCTTTCTCGTCCGATCCTCACTACTCCCAGAAGCTGCCCAAAGTTCCAACTGGTTTTTTCTACCAATATCGTGACAACTCTGCTGTCCAGTTTGTCAGTCTGTCCAAAAATGATGAAGGCATTGATGGAACTCTTAGTTTCTTGCCACATTGTGAACAACTGAAGTTTATTGACTGTTGCAATGGCCTAGTCCTTTGTGAGTACAGGAGCAGCCATACTTCTCCCGACATTTTCCGCTTCATTGTGTGTAACCCGGCAACACGAGAGTGGAGAATACTTCCTGATACTCAGCGAAAGTCAGACAACTTCTGTTATAAAACAATGTTGTGCTTCGATCCATCACGGTCACTGCACTTTTGTGTCTTCCACTTTCATGAGGAGCGTGGCCCTACCAATCCTAAGCTTGCTGGTACCAGGAAAGTTGAGATGTTTTCGTCTCGCAACTCCATGTGGCTTGTATATTCTGATTTGTGGGATCCTGAGTATTTTGGCGTCACGGTTTATTGCAGACCGCACCTGTTCCTTGATGGATTCTTGTGTGCCCATTCAGATCGTGATGTTTTGGTGTTAGAGGAACTGAAGGCAGAGAACATCGATGTACTACCCTCTAATTGGACAACTGAGTTGCCACTCCACAGAGATGACTGTTCTGTGTATGATTGCACTTGCACTTGCACGAGAGGCTGCCTTGGTCAATCTTCGGGATTCTTACACTATGCAATGTCTGAGGAGGATGGCTGCACAGTTCTCATATGGAGTTATGCTACTGGTAATCCTAATGGATGGACTGTTGAGCATAGTCTTAGTATGAGAGATGCATTTGGAAGGGATGACTTTGTTCACTATGAGCATGGTTTGACATGGACTTGTGATTATGAAATTGTCGCTTTTGACCTGGAAAGGGATGTTCTTTTCCTCATTGATGAAAAGACAAACAAGCTTCTTTCGTATGGTATCAGCACTGGGAAGCTTAATGAGATTAAGGATAGCTCTCACTGGTATGTGTACTACGTTGCCTGCTACTCAAAGATTCCAGACCTAACCTTACGAAAGACATGAGTGACTTCTTTCATTTTTAGCTGTGAGGGTCATCGGCATGAAGCCATGAACACTTGTTTTGCACGTTGTTATTCTGAAAATGGAGAAACTTCATCTGTGTGTCCTTTTTTTTTGTGATGCTAGTCATAGTTGTTATTGTATGTGAATTTAGTAACCTGGGAGGCTATGTGACATGAGAAAAACCTTCTCAGATTTTAGTTCATGGCCTTGTATGCTGAAGTTCTTCGTTGCTGATTGTTTTGGCATCAGAAAAAATGACATTCAATGCAGAGGAGGTCGGTTGGCTAATTCGGGACATGATTGTTCAATGACATAGATAATATGTGCCTTGCTATTTCTACGGTAGCCATTGTTCTTGGTGCAGAAACTAGGACATGTTTCTTATCTCAATGTAGTCAGCCTCCTCTTTCTCACCTCTTGCTCACAGCCTCCCGTTGACGATACACGCCTTGCTTTCGCTATGGTGGCCATCAATTGGCCAGGTGGAGGTACTACTACAATGGGATTATACTCTCTCGGCTTGTCACTAGATTCTACTCATAATGGTCAACGGCGGGTTATTCAAGATTTCTGAAAGTTAAAAACGTCACTTTTTTTTTTTTTTTGGGACAAAGGGAGTATGTCAGAGCCTATTTCAGTTTTCCTCTGAACTTTGGGATTTCTTAGTCTACAACGATAGCAAAACAAGAAAGATCTCGTACTGGCAAAATATTCAATAACGATGTTGAACGATGTATTGGCATAGCATGGTACTGGTAGAATATAGAAATAGGATAACCATGTTTTTTGTAAGAAGCGGTGAAGCGGGCCCTATCTGCCAACTGTGTGAAATCCAAGGAAAAGGAAGATATTTACTTATATAAGCAATCTATCTATATAACCTAAAACCTATATAGATGGCACTAAAGTGTCATTGATTATTATTTCTCTCTTCTTTAGTGAAGTCACATCAGTATTATTTTAGCCGTTCGACCTTAAGCAATTTCTTGATCTTGGCCATCTATTATCCTCCATCCCACTCACATTCACTACATTAAACTGCTTTTGTCGTACCAGCTGAAATTTCTCCTATTAAGCATGCAAAGGTTGTGTTTTATCTCCCAATATATAATGAGTATGTTTGAATGCCACACTTTCACCCTAACCTTTTATCTGTGCAGCTTTGCATTTTGTCTCCCAGTGCATACATGACGACCCTTTGCATTCTTCCACAGTGACACCACCTAAAAAATGCCCAAAATGATGAATTAAACAAGTAAACAACTGTTTAGCCTGTTTATTCACGTTTAACTTGACCGTTTAGGCAATTTAACGGTTTAAAACGGTCTACTGTTTAGGGTCTAAACAACATGAATGGCCTTTACTTATCACTAAATGCTATTTAAACAGCTTAAACAACTGTTTAGATGAATAGTGTCAGTAGCAGAGCATGAACATTTTCATTGTCTGTCCTGATAAGAGGAACCTACACTCAGCCCCCTCTCTGTCTCATCTTGTGTCCCAACCAACAATGTCACAGTTAGTTGTGCTTTTTTTTGACAGTTAGTTGTGTTTGGATCTGAGCAAGACATGAACCAGGTGGGATATTCTACTTTGTCAGATATTTGGTTTCGGGATATAGGGAAAAAATCTCGATTTTCCTCTTCACGCCTTCTTCCTCCTCTCGACAGCCGCGGAGCCTAATGCCGCCCTCCGCCATCCCCCCACCGCTGGGTTGCCTGCCTCCCCTAAACCCCTTCTAAGCCCACCGGAGAGAGAGTCGCCGGATTTGGAGAAGAAGAGGAGGAGAGCAAATCTAGCGGCCAGAAAAATCGTGAAACCGAGTGTTGTTTAGCATTTCTCTTTTTCCGGAAGGGCTAAGCGCCCGAACGTCCCGGACACGGCGCGTTGGACGCAGCTCACTATGAAGTTATCCCGCACCGCATCCCACGACCACTGAGTCCGCATCCCATCCAGCCGTAAGTGGCCCGCGTTTGGATGTCACACCTACGCCCATCCCGAGCCCCAAAGAACCCATCCTGCCCCACGCCTATCCTCAGTTCCCCGTGGGTCATCCACTGCTCCCCTTGCGGATGCGTGCCACGGAGGCGTCTGACGGCTCAGAGGCCCGACGGCGACGACCACCTGCGCGCGCCCTGCGGCGAGAAGCGGCTGCGGCAGGCCATTGTCACTGCGCCATGGGCGCCATTACAACATGTGTTCTCACAGATCTACTTTTGAAACATACAAATGAAACACTTGCAATATACGTCTGAAGCAGATAAAACATTTGAAACATACGGTTGAAACATGCGTGTATAGCCATAGCAACACATACAACATCGAGATCTACTTTTACAACATCCAGATAAAGCACTTACAACATGAGTCTGAAACACTTGAAACATGCGTATAGAGCTATAACAACGTATGCAACATCCAGATGAAACACTTCAAACATATGTCTAAAACACTTGAAACACTTAAAACATATAGACTTGCAACATATGCAACATCCCCGATCTATTTGTAACATTCGGGATGAAACACTTGAAACACAACGCGGCAAGCGGCAAGCAATACACCGGTGGGGAACTCTAGTAGCCAACAAGCTCAAAGTTAAAAGGACGTCCAAAGCAACGGTCCAACAGATACTCCAGCGCGCGATCATGTGAGGCCTCTCCTTCCGCCGACGGAATGCGCTACTGGATGAGGGTGAGGCCTCCGCTTCCTCTCTTCTGCGACGGGTGAGGTCGATGGCGGCAAGGCGCGAGTGGTAGTGATATGTGGCGAAGCAGTGAGAGGAGAAGGAAGGCGGAGGCGGGGCGAATAGCACACACCTACAGCGGCAGCACGACGATTTGTTTTAAAGAAATTACGGTGCCTCAAAGGGAGCAGATATAGGGGTGGATAAGAGAGTCTTGTGGGTATTGCGGCCCACCAACTTAAGCATTAGCTTATTTTTGTTGATGTAGTGAGGCGTAAATATCATAAGTCCGTAACTAGATGATGGGAAATGTTCCATAGGAAACTTTCAAAAAAGTGTTCCGTAGGGAGTACAATCTGAGTACATTAGAAAATAACACTGTTCGTTTGGTTGTGGCTTGTCAATAACGATCGTAAATTTCCAAATGGAACAATATTTTTCTCTCACACAAACCACCCAACAATGCTTCTTCACGAACCAAAAATTTAAAACGAACGAAATAACCGAACAATGAGAAGATCTAATTTTAAAAAAGAAAAGAAAATAAGAAGATCTAATTTAAAAAAATCAAAAGAAAATAAGAAGATCTCTTGTGCAACAACTCCGTTCTCTATCCAGTCTCGATCTCGCTCCTTCACCGACCGAGACGGCAGACGATTACCCGCCAGAGCGATCTTCCTGCCTGTTCCTCCCAATGAAAAACAAGGCACGATTCCACGCTTCGCCTAGGCGCTAGGCGGAGGCTTCCAGGGCCTAGGGGTGAGGCGTGCACATCTAGGCGGCTGGGCGAGCCTCCCATGGCGTTGCAGTGCCTCCTGGCCTTTGCGGGCGAGTAGGCGGGAGGCGGCGGCAAGGCGAGGCCATGTGGCAAAGGCTGCAGCCAGGAAAGGAAGCGGCTGCTGGGGAAGGAAAGAGCCCATGCCAGCGCGGTGCTAGAGAGGATTAGAGAGAGAGAGAGAGATAACCAAGTCGAGAGTCAAGATCTTCTCCTCGACCCCTTGCCTCCGACCCAGCTCGCTCATGGGATCGATTCACCTCCGGCCGATTAAAGGTCGTGAAGCTTCTACTTGATCTTTGTGGACCCGTTTCCGCATCACTGCCATCTTCTCTCCGCAGTGCCCTCCCTCGCGCCCCTAGAGCTCCCGTGCAGCCCCGTCAGCTGCCCCCGCCACCTGGAGCTCCGTGCTTCCCCCTCACCAAGGGCCGCCATCACTGGTGAGCTCCTCGCTGCCTCGCCCGCAGCTCGGGAACCCCAAGGTGAGGTCCGCCCGCCCCCCTCCTCTCTCCTCTGCCTTTCATTTGCTCCTTCTATCTTCCTGCCGCTGACTTGCTTTGTCTTTGGTCTTCTTTGTGTGCTGTGTGTGTTTAATATGCCTCTGCTGCTCTTCATGTAGAATGTCGGTGGAAGAATGTGCTCCTGAAACTAGTGTTACATCTCAGGATGAGGTGAATGTCCTGAAAAGGAATTCAGATGATGTGGGATGGGAGTATGGGTTTCTGTGGATGCAAACAACAAGGACAAGGTGGAGTGCAAGTTCTGTGGTCATCGGGAGCCAAGGAGGGTCCATCGGTTGAAGGAACATGTGGCCAATGTTGGAACAAATGTGAAGAAATGTAGGCGAGAGCACACACATGAGGCTAAAGACAAGTGCAAAAATCACTAGAAGATTCAAAAGGAAGAAGAGGAAGGAGTAGGCTGCTCGTGAACTAGAGCTTAGAGAAGAAGTGAATGTTTCTCGGGTTGGAACAGGAGGATGATGAAGTGACTTGTGTTGGAAGTTCGTAGCCTCACAAATTAGGACCCATTGATAAGTGGACACGTGCTATTGATCCTAAAGCAACAAAATCTGAATCTTTGAAGCAAAGTGGTTGAACAAGGAACTTTGGAAAGAAAGAACACATGAGGTGCATAAATATATTGCAAGATGGGTCTATACACATGGTAATTTACTATTATGCATTTACATTTTTTACATTTCAGATTTGAATACATGCACTGAACTACACACTAATTAGTTAATTACACTTTTTTGTATCATATGTAGCCATACCATTCAATGCTTGTGACAATGATGAGTTCAAGCAAATGTGTGAAGAAAATTGGACGGTTTGGTTCTGACTTGAACCTCTATCTCTGCGTGATTTAGAGAGTTTTGCTAGATGAAGAATATACAAGAACCAAGAGTTTGCTACAAGAACGTGAGGCTGAGAAGGTGAAGAATGGGTGCTCATATGATGGTGATGCTTGGTCGAGATAGGAAGAGGAGAAGCATAATGAACTCTGTGCACTAACTGTGTCTTGATGGATCCAGCT